AACTACCGCTTCTGCCCCGTCTACAATGGTTACGAGTACAATCCTCAGTACTACTACAACTCAGCAAACAGCAACTACAGCTGAAAGTGCCACTATTCCCATTTCCAGAACTACGTCTCCATCTTCAACTACTGAGGAACTAACGACAACTCCTAGTCCAAGCATCACTCCTAAAACACTATTGAGTACAGCAGCAACCAGTAGTACTCTACCCACAGGTACAAGCACTACTCAAGCAACAACTTCAGCTCCAGTTAGCAGTTTCAGCAGTTCTGCAAGTGTGCCGCTAACGTCGTCCATTACTGAACCGGAAACAGAAAGCGCCACTACCGAAGTAATAATGACCACAGCTCCAACGACCACTTCTGCCCCATCCACAACATTGTCAAGTACAATCCTTAGAACTTCTACAATTCATCAAACAGCATCTCCAACTCAAAATACCACTATTACCCTACCCACAACATCTTTATCTTCCACTACTATGCAAGCAATAACAAGCACAGCTTCTACTACTGCCCACCCAACACATACAGTTCCAACATTCAGTACCCTCCTAACAGCAAAAGGCACATCTGCTGAACCACCAACTGGACCAATCACTACTGTTCCACCCACCGCTACAACCACCACTCAACCAAGAACTTTGACTCAAAATCCCTCTACTACCTTACACCCAAAAACCATTACCAACACGATCATAGCAACCTCTTCTATTTCTACAGTTACTACAAGAACTACTAATGTTTTACCAGTTTCTATAAGAAATTCTACTGTTTCTTCAGGTACTAGAACTACTGCTACGTCTCCAGTTACTAGAAGTACTGCTACTTCTCCAGTTAGTATAAGAAATAGTACTACTTCTCCAGTTCCTACCTCTCCAACTATTTCTACAGTTACTACAAGAACTACTACTAGTAGTCCAGTTACTAGAACTACTACTAGTTCTCCAGTTACTATAAGAAATACTACTGTTTCTCTACTTACTAGAACTACTACAACATCTCCATTTACTAGAACTACTGCTACCGCTCCAGTTACTAGAAGACATACTACTTCTTCTCCAGAGTCTAGAACTACTCCTAGTTCTCTAGTTACTACAAGAACTACTACTGCTTCTCCAGTTACTAGAAAATCTACTGCTACTTCTCCAGTTACTAGAACTACAACTGCTTCTCCAGTTACAAGAAGATCTACTACTACTCCAGTTACTAGAACTACTATTACTTCTACAGTTACTAGATCAACTACTACACCAGTTACTAGAACTACTATTACTTCTCCAGTTACTAGCAGAACTACTACTATCACTAGTACTACTACCACTATTAAAAGACCTACAACATCTTCTACTACTACTACCACTACTAGAAGACCAACGACTACTACAACTACAACAACTACCCCCACATTACCTAATGCTCCTCCACATGGAGTGGAAGGGTTCCTGTTCCTGACCTTCAGAATAATTCGTGATTTTACTCCAGAATTGAATGACCAGAATTCTGTGGCGTTTAAGGCACTGGCATACAATGTTTCCTTTGAGGTACAGCACTACATCTGTGACACATAATGTTTTCATGTATCCTCATTATTAGATAAATACATTTCAAATATTATTATTCCTCTCAAATGTTTTTCAAAAACAGTTTATTGACATAGTGACAAATAATTATTTGATTTAACAGCTGGATCGTGGGTTCAAGAGAATATACCCCTTGATCTACCTAAGGTGCTTTATCATCAGTTTCTGGTAAGGATGCTCCTTCTTCACTAGTTATGATTGGAACAGTAGTTTCTTTTATATTTCCATTTCAAAACATTGTAAAATTATTGATGTTGTGACAAATATACTATCGTTTGTATGCTAAGTTTGATACAGCAGCCTAGCATCTAATCTTGTTACCTCACACTTCCAGGGATCTGGAGTCAAATACTACCCTATATTTTTTCACTGAGGTTTTGATTCTCCCACATGCACTTAAGTCAAAAAACAATGTAGCTTTCTGAAGATGTCAATTAGGTTCACAATGTGAAAAAAAAACAGTCCATTTCCACATTTTTCTTGTTGCACAAATCATTGAGGACATAGCCCCCTTTTCTTGCTTGATGAATTCATTATACTTCCTGTGTGGCTATGCCTTCTTTTTCTGGTTAAGTGACCTGGGGATAAGCGGTTTTGGAAAATGGATAGATGGATGGATGGTGTTCCTGTGCTGATTAGGGGGGAATATGCTTAACTGAAAAGCACATAACTTTTTAAGTGCTTTTTTGATGTAAATGTTTGATGGGAGATTTGTCCTGGGGTACCTCTCATAATCTAAAGATGTGTATTCAAAATATGATACCAAGACCTGTGATTTTGGTTCTCAGGTTTTATTAACCATGGGAATTATAACATGTTACTACAATCTTTCTAAATTCAGTTTACACATGTTCAGTCTGGGCCAGACGGCATTGAAGTTATATTTTTTAATTCCCTTTTTTGTTCTATTTCGGTTTCTTTTGGTCTTTTTTAGACAGAATGTTGCTGCATTACAAATACTGTTTTTCTCAATCTCCCTCTCATTAGGTTTGGTTCAGTAGGAGTATCATCCCAGCTGGTCTTCACAAATCAGACAGTTGTTCCTAATATAACTAATGTGGTGAACTCACTAAAGGAAGCCGTCAACAGCTCAGAAGTCTTCCTGAACATCATACCCAGCAGCATCGCAGCACGTAAGTGGCATTCTTGTTAAGCCAAGTAAAATTTATTCATATTTACAATTATATAAATATTGCTAGCTGTTTAACAACTTCTACTCTTTGTCTTTATTCTTTGTTATTTTCATACTGTGAGCTCATTGAACCCAAAATACACTGTTAACCTACATTCCTTACAAACAGAAATGCCAACCACCACAACTACCACCACCATGCCCACCACCATACCCACCACGAAGTCAGCAGCCAGCAGCATCATGGCAGTGAAGGGACCAAGTAAAATAGCTGCTCTCATCCCTATAACAGTGGTTTACTTCCTTTTAAGAGAACTCTGGTCTTTATAATTACAATGAAATAAAATGTCATTAACATGAAAAGAAAATGCACAGTATAGTACACTGAACAAAAAGCTAATTAGCATTTACATATGGTAATTTTCTTTAACAAAAAATCTGTCTATATATATATATATATATATATATATATATATATAATGTACCATTTGTCCAACCTTGTGATTGGGTGCTCCTGAAGCCTGGGCTCCTTTAACAATGATTTCAGAAAGATTAAAAAGCACTTTATACCTTGTGTTACTTTTACTTTAATTTAGCAACATGATTATTTAAATTGTCATATTAAATGAACATTAGGATTCAAGAAAAACTGTAATAGATGTAACGGGACTTTTAAAATATTGTAAGAGATTAATTATATATGTGATTGTGTTCTGCATATTTATTTCAGTTAATTGTAACATGTTAAATAAATTATATATTCATAAATTAAATAAATGTTAATTTCATTTCTCTCATGTGTCTAAAACAAAAAATGATGAGAACAGTCAACCTGCTGTTCTCATCACATCCAAGGTGTCCCCTGTCTTGTGTCCTGTGCTAGACTGACACGTTGTCTCCTATAATCACTTTGTATTGGTGCAGGGTCAGCAGTTCTGTCATGGTGAAGGGAGTGCTGAGCCAGAAGGCAAAGCAATCAATTTACCGGTCAATGTATGATTCTACCCTCACTTGTTGTCATGAGCTCTGGGTAGTAACTAAAAGAATCAGATCACAGACACAAGTGGCAGAAATGAGTTTCCTCCGCAGGGTGTCTGGGCTCAGGCTTAGAGACAGGGTGAGGAGCTCAGACATTTGGGAGGGGCTTGAAGGAGAGCTGCTGCTCCTCCACATTGAAGGAGCCAGTTGAGGTGGTTCAGGCATCTATCTAGGATGCCTCCTGGATGGCTACCTGGGAAGGTGTTTGGGCATATCCAGGCAGGAGGAGGCCCCGGGGCAGACCCAGGACACACTGGAGAGGTTGTATCTTTCGGCTAGTCTGGGAACGCCTTGGTATTCTCCCGGTGGAGCTGGAGGAGGTCACGAGTGAGGGGAAGGTCTGGGCATCCCTGCTAAGTCTGCTGCCCCCGTGACCCTGGATATGCAAGAGAAAAGGGGTTTGATGAATGGCTAGATAGATGGATTGAATTACCTTTTAATATTGGAATGTTTTGATGTCTTCATAGCTTGAGCAAAGTAAAATACCAGTGTCTTTCCTATCTGTTACCAGACAATCTATTTCTCCAAAGACTGTGATCCTAATATGAAAAGCTTTTGTGCAATGTTACAGTTAATAGCATATGATGCAATCTATTAATGGTAATTTATTGCACATTATTTTATAAGTCGTATTTATATAACAATAATAATAATAATAATAATAATAATTATTATTATTATTATTATTATTATTATTATAACAACAAAGACCTATAAACCAGTCTAGTTATACCAGGCAATTGATAGTTGTGGCAGAAAGCTTCCTTGATTATGGTATATTCTTTTCCTCTTGGAAACTGCATATAACGAGCAGCCAAATTATTAATTACTGTTCACACCTCAGTTAAACTGCGTGACATAGCGAGATTTTTTTTTTGCTGTATTGGCCACTTCAGTTTGAAAATCTCCTTTAGCGAAAAAACAAAAGGTATTTTTGTCAGTTGCACCAATGCGCCGGGTCAGCCTCTCCAAAGCTGTTCGTAGCTGCCCGGCTGACTGCACAATCATCTGTAATGAGCGTTTTGTCATCAAACCACAACACAATTCTGCCATAAGTCTCTAAGGAAATAAGCTCCGCCTGTTGACATTTCGTTGGTTTGGTAAAAGATATAAAAGAAAATCCATATGGATTAAATATGTTTAGCTCTAGCTAACACTATGTGGTGCCCAGTGAAAGTTAGGACAGCTTAACTGTTACCCGTTAAGACAGCATGATGGCTATCCTATTAAATTAAATTAATTATTTAAAGTTGGGGGAGTTTAATTAAAATTTTGGGAAGTTAGGAGACTTGTGTAATACACCTTTCTTGTCTTAACTTAGGGCAGAAACTTTGGCTTAGGAACTACAGTGGTACCTCAGAACTCGAATTTAATCCGTTCAGAACTCTGGATCAAATCCTAAAAAGTTCGAGTTGTGACCGAATTTTCCCCATAAGAAATAATGGAAAAGAGCATATACTGTACTAAACACATCTAAGCACATTTATCAAAACAGTAATTTGTAAAGTAAGAAAATAAATGTATCCAAACAATATGTCCTGCCCTGATCGTCTGCTCCTTCCGTGTGCCACGCCCCCTCGTTAACCCCGTGTGGAATCCCCGTGTGATCAGCTGTTTCTGGTTGTTGTCTATAGTCCTCTGTATTTGGTCTGCGTTTCAGTTTGTTTCCCCAGTCCGGTCATTGTATTGCCCGTATGCGTTTTGCCTGCCTTACCTGTAATTAAACCCCGCATTCCCCGATACCCTGACGTCTGCGCCTTTGTCTCCGTTCCGTCCCCACTCGGCACAACAATGTTATTATAATTAAACGTATTAATGGTTTATTATTAATATTAAAATAATGAATAAGAAATCTTTATTTTTAAATGTATTTCATTATATTATAATAGTTACTGTTACTGTCTATCATTGTCTAAATGTATTTTTACTGGATAAATATATGTATTCAGCTAGTGTAAACATGCACGGTGCTGTCACAGGGAATGCAAGGCTGAGACTGAAGCTTTACCCTTTGTTTCCGCTGAGAGACGTGCAGCGTGACTCATTTCCCCGCGCGTACAAGTTATCTTAGGTCTTCGTTCACGGTTTGACTTCTGAGATTCAGATCGAGCTCTATGTAATTTTTTTTTTCAAACTGGTTGGTTCGACTTTTAAGAAATTCCAGTTCTAATGAGTTCGACAACTGAGGTACCACTGTATTCATTTTTTAATGGCTTTATGGCTTTTCCTCCAAATCAGGTCCTAACTCTAGTTACTATAGTGACCAAAGAGTTACGATAGAATGTGCAACTTAGGCAGATTCTATTGTACACAGGCACAAGGCTGGGATTCACCCTGGATGTGATGCAGGTCCATCACAGGACACATAGAGACATAGACATGTTAAGGGCAAAGCAGAGATTGCAATTAGCCTGAGGATGGATGGATCTTGGGCCTGAGAGAGAGAGAAGCCTACCTGCATCTGATCACCATGTTAGGGGTTAAGTTAGGGGTTCCCAAGCCCCAGTCCATGAACGGTACTGGTCCATGGAGCGCTGGGGGTTTTGCAGAGAGGTTGAATAATTAAAAAAAAAATATTTATATTTTCAAGGTGCATCTGAAAAAGGATGTATCGCAATCCTAAAGCTGTCTGTTTTTCTCCTGGAAGAGACAATGCAGATAATGCTTGGTATAGTGTGTGTCTTTATGTGTGAGAGCACACCCTGAATGGGGCAGCATCCCTGCTCCTCTCCCTATGCGGCCCTGATCTCCCTCATAATTTTGGTTGCTATCGTTTGCATTAATTCAGGAACATAGCAAGGAATTCTGGGGCCCCTGACAAAATGTCATCTTGGGCCCCCTGTCACAGTGCCCTGTACTGCCTTTGTTCTTGTCCAGTTTGTGTCCCCAGTGGCTCCTTCTTCTGTTCCCACTCATGTCTCTGTTGCCCCTCTGCTTGTCCGCCCTGTTATAAGAACATAAGAACATAAGAAATTTACAAACGAGAGGAGGGCATTCGGCCCATCAAGCTCGTTTGGGGAGAACTTAACTAATAGCTCAGAGTTGTTAAAAT